ACTGGGGGATCTGTGGGACCCTCATAGGGCCGAAAACAGGGTGCTAGAGAGCAAGTGGAAGGAGATTCATTTTGATTAATTTATTCAATTGACAGCCATAGTTTTTAACAGTAAGAAATTAGAAAAAAAGATTAAATTAGATTTAAAAAAAATCTAAATGTTTTTTTTTTATTTTGCCACTTTGACTTTATTCATATGTATGTATTATTTCATATTTAATAATTATATACACACACTGTATAATATATAAGATACATGATAAAATTGCTAAAATTAAGACTAAAGTTAAACTAAAATTAAAAATGAAAATGTAAAGATAGATAGATAGATAGATAGATAGATAGATAGATAGATAGATAGATAGATAGATAGATATCAGTGTTATTTTAGTAAACATATTTTCTATGTAATATTTTAATCTTTTGCAAAGCTAATTATTCCTAAGCTAAAAAGTTTGTACTCCCCGGCTGTTCTATCCTCTTTACTTAATGTATGAGATATTTACAAATAAACACCCGGATATAGTCAATGCCTAATAGCTTTGACTCTGCAGTCTAGCAGCATCCCTCCTATTATAAAGATAACAAATATCAGTCATGATATTAAACAAATAAGAACTTGGTCTCAGTCATATCACAAGGACATAAATTCCCTTAGACGTGGAGCTAGCAATCTTGTTTTCCCCTTGTCGTTGTGCGCCTTAATTTGTGATGTATTAAACCAAACTCTTTCCAGCCGCTGAAGTTGATGAAGCTTGATAGGAGTCATTTTTTGAGGCAGCATCACAGCTGGTGGGGCCGGACCCGGTGTGAAGGACACGGGGGAGTAAAGTATGCAAATATCAAGAGCGCTAATCAATTAAACGTGCGATGAGAAGCACCTTAATGATACTGTAGTGATTGAACAGTCTATCAAAGTGCACATTATATTTCAAATAAATAAGATACTCTACAGCATGTGTTCTTTATTCCGATGCCTTTTAATGAATCTGTTGTGGTCATGCTGTCGATAAACTCACTTTGCTCGCTTATTTATGGACTGCAACTGCATTATTGACTGCAGTCGATTCTCATGAGCTTTTGTCATCTGAGTAAACCGAGAAAGTTGAATAATGCAAGATTGTGATGCTATTCCATACGTTCCTTTATATGTAGTATAATGTAATGCAGTCTGTATTGTATTCCAATATTTTCTATAATGGATCGTGTGTGTTTTAGAAAGAAATGTGTGTGTGGTTTTCTTTTCTCTTAATGTGTAATGTCAGTAACAGCGTCTGTTTTTATTTTTTACGGCGGCCCTGTGGTGATGCTTTATCCCTCATCCCTGTCAGAAAGAGTGATGAAAACATTCTCTGGCTGATTTATTTTATAAATCGCTTGGAGCTTTTGCACCTTATTGAATCATGGAAAAACAGGAGTACAGCTAAAGTGCTAAATAAAATATCTGAAGATTTAGAGGATTTTTGATTCATTTAAAAGAAATTGACTCAAAAGAAGGATTTGTTCACAAATTAGACAAATCGTTCATGCTGTTTTTGTGGTTCAATGAAAAGACCTGACTCAAAGGAATGATTTGTTTACAAATTGGACAAAAAATATTAGGCCAGTTCTGCGATTCAGTGAAAAGATTTGACTCGGAAGAATGGATTGTTGACAAATCAGACAAATCATTCAGACCGGTTTTGTGATTGAATGAAAAGATTTGATTCATTCAGTCAGACCATTTTATGGTTCATTAAATAGATGTGACTCATTAAGACCAGTTTTGCGATTCTATTAAAGGATCTGGTGCAAAAAAATAAGTTGTTTACAAATCAAGTCATTTTGTGGTCTAATTAAAAGATTTGACTCAAAAGAATTTGTTCACAAATCATTTTTGTGATTGAATGAAAAGTTTGAATACTTTTCTTGCGATTGACCACAATATAGTGCAGATGTCAAGATTTTCAATGAATAGCAACTTACATTTTTGATTACATTTATGATCGTTTCATGCTGCTTTTGTCATTTTTGAGAGCTTGAAGCTTCCAGTCTTCATTTATTGTAACTGCGTGGACAAGTCTTTTTTTTCACAAAAAGTCATACATGTTTGAAATGACATGAGGATTTAAATTTTGGATGAACTATTCTTTGAAGTTATATCCCTGCATTGTCTCCACGCAATAATCTGATTTACAGTGTGTGTTACTGTTACACTCTTTCTGCCCTATAAGTATCATTCCATTCAGCTGTCAGCCGTCGGACTGCCGCAAGGGTGTATTTTAAAGCATGCTACCACAGCAGCGCTTGTGGCATAAATATTGAGGTGAAGCACACGCGGTATTAAATTCATACAGGTCAGCTTCGTACATTAATCCAGCCTGAACAGAGTCCCATCACCCGTTTCCCTGAGCTGAGACATCACAAGAAGCACGGCGAGACCTCAAGGCCACATCTATTCGAATTCGTCCAGGAACGTTACCGGCCTACCTCCGGATTGCAAGATCCCCCTCAGGCATTGTCGAAGACCCGTCCTGCCCTTTTATTTTCCAGTTCAGGGCCTTCTTTTTTTGCAGATAAATGCTCTCCGATGTAACGTGACAGATGTCACAATGCATCGCCTCTATTTTGATACATACCCTCTGATCCTGCCACAAATGATAAAGAGCGCACGGGGCCCAAACAACGTGCTGACACTCGTGATTATTTTAGAGCGCGTCACGACCGTGGCGAGACACGGAGCCGGCCAGGTTCCAGAGCGAATCAAGGAATGTCAATATGTGCGTGTCGGAGTCATCGTGGCATCCAAGGACTGAGGGAGACTCAGTAGACACAGCCATCCCATTGACATATATTCAAAAAGATCAATGCCATGATAAAGTTGTAGGTTTAGTTGGCTTGCACTTAATCTGTTGAAGCTGCAAGACACTTCACTTCATTTTTTTTCCCAACCTTGGTTTTTGGAGGAAAGGAAAAACTAACAAAAAAATAATTCAGTGTTTTATAATTCATTGGTCAGTTTTGAGATTTCGGCTTTTCATAATGTTATTTCAGAACACTTTTAAGTGTTTTATTTTATTGCACTTTATCTATTTGCGTCTGTAGAATTAAATTACATTTAATATCTTTAAAGGCTGTTTTATCAAAATTAGTTTTTTTTCTAAGCCATAAATCTCCAGTTTGTTTGCAGTGCACTTACATTAACTACACTTTATGGTTCTACAAAAAAAAAACAATGCAATTCTTAATGTAATCAATCAAATGGGTAAGTATGGTGATATCTACTAAATCTTTTACTTTATTCACCTGGGGGTGTCTTGCCTTAATTTGAGTGATTCTTTCTGTTGAGTAGCGAGAAGTATCTCTATTTATGAACAAAATATTGAATCATTTAGTTAGTCGAGCACGGATACATTTAGGAGAAGAACAAGTGAGACATTAAATCATTTCATCAGCCGATTCGTTCAAACACACGGATTCATTCAGCAACAGAGCCAAGTGTTCCTTAGGAATGAATCACTGAATCATTCAGTCAGCCGATTCGTTCCAAACACTGCTTCATTCAGGGACAAAATTCCACTGCGTGTTCTCTGTTTATCTTACTTTGGAAATACATTTGTTGACAGATCAAAAATCTGTCTATCTATCTATCTATCTATCTATCTATCTATCTATCTATCTATCTATCTATCTATCTATCTATCTGTCTGTCTGTCTGTCTGTCTGTCTGTCTGTCTGTCTGTCTGTCTGTCTATCTATCTATCTTTTATCTGTCTGTCTGTCTGTCTGTCTGTCTGTCTGTCTGTCTGTCTGTCTGTCTGTCT